AACATAGACACTACCAACTTAGCTTTGAACTGATGTAAACAAATAAACATGCTCTTTTACAACAAAACCGCTGAGTAGAGGCTATATAATAGTGCGTATTAATCACTTTTCTCGACAACTTAATTCAGCTTTGTTAAGAAGCAGAGTAAAAGCTGTAAAACTGCACAAGTCTAAAAAGAAACTTAGTTTACTGTTAAATAGCATCCAAAGTAACGCTTACACAGTTTATAAGTTGAGTACAGGTTGTTTAGCTGTTTGAAAAACACTTTTGATTTTATGTTATTCAGCAGGAGTGTTTGGTTGTGTAGAAGTCATCAAATGAGTAATATATGGGTCATTCCATCTCAAGTGACCGCCAAAAACTGAAGAATTGCATCGAACCTCTCCGATTTGAACCAAACTTGGTGGAACGACTTATTTTAGGCCAACAACCAAAAATCCAACGTTTTGTACCCATCGACTCACCCCCCGGTTCTGATGACTGCCCCCACTTTTTTTCCGATCTTCAAGAAACACCATTTTTCTTTTGAACATATCTCTGAACCAAATTATGCTACAGACAGGATTGGGCACTCATTTTAAAGGATTTTCAACGTACAATCAAATGGCGTACTTTGATTTTTTTTTATATATTGTTGTCAACTTGTCGATTTTTGCAATTTAAAACTTAAAATGCAAATATCTCAAAATGCCCCCACTTTTTTCTATTTTTGACAGCACCAAAATGTTCGGCAGACATTTTTACATAAGCATCACCTAACCACCAAAAACAACTTTTTTCGTTTGGGAGATATGGATTTTAAAGATTTAATGTTTTTAAAAAGTTCCATTACTGTACAACCCTTCAATATGAAACGTTGGACAATCCTGAAAGTTGATAGAAACGATGAAGCCTGTAAGTTAGATGAGGATCTAATTCTTCTTTCATTTTATACAATCAAATGCTCAGATAATATTAAACCGGATTTGTTTCGACAGTGTTGCCAGCGTTGCAAACTTAAATTTAGATTTATAATTTTTCTTATTTCCAACACTTTATTTTTTTGCGTTCGGAAATGTATTTCGTATTACATGGTATTTTAGGCAGATCCATTCGTTTTGTGTTTCTTTATTTACTGATTATTTTAAATAGGCTTTTGAAATATTCAAAAACTAATTTGATTCTAAATTAAAGCAGCCGTGTTTCTATCCTACTTATTGCTATCATTTATTGAACAAATATCATCTAATACATTGAGTAGCATGAGTAATTACTTTTTCCGTTTTGCCTTAGATTTGGGTAGTGAATTTGAACGCTTTTTTGAAATTACCCGTTTCTGAACAAGAAATCGTTTTCATAAGAACAGTATGTTCGCCGGTAGGTGTGGCACAATGCATTCCGCAAATTCCAGGAATGGGTCGTGCTAGAGCGAATCGGGCTTCTAAATCCTGCCTATTCGTATTGCATTGCTCCGATGTCACTAATTGTACATTCACACTGCAATTTGACAGTGCCCATTCGTATAACTCTTTTGGCGTTTGTATCGTTGTACCCTGTAGACTGGCTTTTGTTGCCAATCTTTTCAAGGTACCTCCTAAACCGTCACTAGGGCCTTTGCCGTGTGCCGTGGCAAAGTAATGCCACTCAGCCGGAACTCCGAAGTCTACTCGATGGTAGAGCAAGTTGATGACGTTGAATCGGTTTTTATATTGCGAACCAGCACCATCAGAAAAGTATATAATTTTAGTCAAGATTTCAGGAATGCCATAAACTGCCTCTGGAAACTGTGGAAGATAGCTGTGGAATGCTCAAAAACGTCGGAGATAATGATACAGTTTAATGGAACAACCTTTTCTTGCTCTAAGAAATAGGCGGCGAATGGATGAATGGTGGCTTGCAGGTTATTATAGCCCCTTGTACGCTTTCTTGGAACACAATCGAATAATTTTCGGAAAAGTCCGCAACAACAAGAACTTCTCCTTCCTGCAGATTGTCCCGAGTATTTTTATAGAAGTCGGCCTGTTTTGCAGCAATATAATCGTGTTTTCGGACCTCTGGGATAGCTTCAAAAAATGTATCAATGAAAGCTTCTGCATCACTGACTTTCGTTTCCAAACTGCACCGGACACGTTTCGTTTCCAAACTGCACCGGACTGACGGGACACGACAATCGAGAATATTGTTGTTATTGATATTTTTATTGACTGTGTCGTTTCGTGTTGCCAAGATTGCAGAAAGTTATTTAAATTGTTATGAAGATTTATGTTTTGGATCAACAAATTAATATATGCAGCCGAAACCAGTTCTTATTTGATTGTAACAATTAAACTAAATTTTAAAACACAAAATGCAATGCAAATAAATTTTTGAATATTGAAACCAGATAACAACTTTACAGCAACCAATATCCGGGATCAACATCAATACATTTGATGTGTTCCCTTTTATTCACTGGCTGCAACGGTTGCTACTGCCTTATCGACCAATCAGCAACTGGCTCCAGTTTGAGAGTAAATTGGCTCCAAATCGCCACCCGATTGTCGGGTCCCGTGCCAGCCCGTAAATACAGTTTCTTTTTAGTATCAAGTAGGCCTTGATAAACTTGTTGATATTTGAAAATTAAAGCGGCACTTTTCTGCCAGATGCGTATAAATCTGTGCAGCCGCTCATGCACATTTGAAAAAAGTGATACTATACTGTGCTATTTTCTAGATGGCAACACTGTCGAAACAAATCTGGTTTAATATTATCTGAGTATTTGATTGTATAAAATGAAAGAAGGATTAGATCCTCATCTAACTTACAGGTTTCATCGTTTCTATTAACATTCAGGATTGTCCAACGTTTCATATTGAAGGGGTGTACAGTAATGGAACTTTTTAAAAACATTAAATCTTTAAAAATCCATACCTCCCAAACGAAAAAAGTTGTTTTTAGTGGTAAGGTGATTCTTATGTAAAAATGTCTGCCGAACATTTTGGTGCTGTCAAAATTAGAAAAAGAGTGAGGGCATTTTGAGATATTTGCATTTTAAGTTTTAAATTGCAAAAATCGACAAGTTGACAACACTACATAAAAATTCTGAGTACATTTAATTTTACGTTAAAAATCCTTTAAAATGAGTGCCCAATCCTGTCTGTAGCAAAACTTGGTCTAGAGATATATTCAAAAGAAAAATTGTGTTTCTTGAAGATCGGAAAAAAGTGGGGGCAGACTCCAGAACCGGGGGGTGAGTCGATGGGTGCAAAACGTTGGATTTTTTATTGTTGGCCCAAAATAAGTCGTTCCACCAAGTTTGGTTCAAATCGGAGAGGGTCGATGCAACTGACTCGGTCACTTGAGATGGAATGACCCATATTCACTTTATTGGCTTTAGTTGGAACTACAAGTTGAAAGTTGATTAATATTTGCATAGAAGTGACATTAGCGTTTATTAGCTGCTGTTATTCAGCGCAACTGACAAATTGAATAATGGTTGTAAAAAAGTTGAGTAAACGCTCTCCAAAGCTATTTTGCTAGCTTGCTTGTAGCTGTTTCTGCAGTTTTTTTTTCAGCTACTTTACAGCACAATGCTGGAAAAGTTGGCTTATAAAGCTGAAAATTGTAGTTAGGATCGTTTATTAATTTTTGACGTATGATTGCGTCTTGCAGCCATTAAAAAAAATCAACCACGTTACGAAAAGTGGTCAGGTTTTGACCACTTATAGCTCTGTCAATAGTGGATGAATTTTAATTCTAAACTAGTCAAGCGATTGGAATTTTTCTACAAATCTGCTAAATTGAAAACTTTATAAATTTTCAATCAGTCACTATCGAAAATAACACACAGGTACAACTGTCGCAATGGTGATTAAAATTATCACCAATTGCCTGTAAAAAGCGTTTTCTCTAACACAGATTTTAAAATCGAATTCCATCCGGTCTCGCCGAACGGTGCTAATTCAATCACCGTGTGTGGGGTTTCGGGTCAGTCGTCATCATCATCATCATAATCAGCAGCAGCAGCAGCAGCAGTGCTGGCGTTGAACATTGTTCTCCAGTACACAACAAAAGGCTGCCTGCAAGCAGCGAGCTGTAGCCCACATGAGCGTCCATTCACCGAAGAAGGAGGAATAAGCCGCACTGCTGATCGGATTCAGTAGCTTTTTGTGAGTCGCTGTGGGCCATCTGTGTTAAGCACATCACCCTCGTTCCACAAAACATACAACTCGTTAGCTCATCTGTGTTGAACACCGTAATAGCTCAGCAATCAATCAATCAAATCGTAGACTACATATTAACATTAGGACTTCTGTTCTATGACTTCGCAGGGTTTTGAAATATATTTTTAATTCTGATGAGGGCATATTTAGGTCAATCATTTCACAATGATGATTATAAGCAGTCATCATCTGATTTACAGGTCCAAATTTAGCGTAATAGTTCCGATGGCGATCTACTGCGAACAACTGTCGATTGCGTAATTTTCGGGAAGGTGCATACAGATTTAACCTTGACAATAGATCAGCTGAGTCAATGCGTTGCGAAATGATATTGTTTAATAAAGAAATCTTTGCGTAATCCCGACGTTCTTTCAATGTTTGAATGTTGATCAGCAAGCAACGTGATTCATATGACGGGAGAGGAAAAGCCGTCCAACCTAACTTACGTAGTGCATATAATAAAAAAATGCTTTTGGATTGACTCTGACAAATGTTAAATGACGGGACAACACGCGAGAGTGAACGAAAACAGTGATTGAAAAAAGCCACGGAATAAAATCTTTAAAAACTTAACTTTCAAAATTAATGACTAGCGAAAAAACGTGCTCTTCGATTCGTGTATTTATCTATCGTAATAATAATAACATCAAGTTAATGAAAAGCGGAAGTCGTCCTCCCGGTGACGGCTCGGTTTTCTTGACTCTGTTTCTCTGCTTCATAACTTCCTTGCGTCCAGCCATCCATGTTTGGCTCATGAGAAAAAAGGGATCGTACAAAAAATCAGTAACATACACCCCGCCTTGAGGCGGATGCCTCAATTACATGGCAGCACCACCAGCTTCTTCATCGGTTGATCTGGCATACACAACCGCTGCGTACGCAGCCTCCGATGCGTCAGCAAACCCCAACAGCGGCATTTTTCCTCCATGGTTGGCAGTCCATCTTGGGATACGAATATTCTCGATTTCATGCAAGCTGGTCTTGATTTTGTTCCATTCTTCGTTGATCGATGCCGGTAGGGGATCGTCCCACAGGAAATCTTGCAACCACAACGATTGGTAGAGAATTTTAATGCGGACAATGATTGTAGCGATCCAGCCTAGGGGATCAAACAACCGAGCGGTGTCCGATAACATTTGACGTTTCGTATTCAGCTTATCGAAGTCCATCTCCAACTCGAACCCAAAGGTGTCTGTGTCAGGATACCACTGTATACCCAAAGCCTTGACTGGATCAGTTTCCGGTGCTAGATGAAGTGGGACGGCTTCATTTGCTTCGTTGTTATTATCGAACAGGCGGGGATCATTCGATGACCATTTTCGTAAATTGAATCCAGCCGTCGATGTTATCTGGATAATTTCGTTCCTTATCTTCACTGCTTCTTCAAGTGTATCAGCACCTGATAGTAGGTCATCCACATAAAAGTTCTTCAACACACGTTCTGCTGCTTCAGGATACTGCCCATAACTATCTCGAGCTGCTTGCCGGAGAGATTCTACAGCCAAGTACGGGGCACATGAACTGCCATATGTAACCGTTAATAATCTATAATGTTCGAGAGGTTGTTCGGATTCCGAACTCCACACAATACGTTGGTAATCGATTTCTTCCTTGCGCACCTTGACCTGCCGGTACATTTTTTCCGCATCCGCCTTAAATGCGACAGGGTATGTTCTGAAGCGGGTTACAACTATCGGCACATCTTCGGTAACTTTCGGTCCAACCAGCAATCGGTCGTTTAAAGACACCCCTGTTGTCGTTTTGCAGGAGCCATCAAAAACGACTCGCAGCTTCGTGGTCAAGCTATTGTTGCGTAGAACTGCATGGTGTGGAAAGTAAAATCTTCGATCCGAAGGTATGTCGATCTCTTTATCCGGAATCTGTTCCATGTGGCCAACCTCCAAGTAGTCGGCCATGAATTCAACGTACATCTTCTTGAACACAGGATCGCTTGCAAATTTTTGCTGCATTGCCTTTAGTCGATGGATGGCTGCTGGCTGTGACTCCCCCAACGGTGCTTCTGTTTCTTTGAAAGGAAGGCTCACCACGAATCGACCAGATTCTTCACGTTTGTAAGTAGCTTGATACATATTCACCGCATTTTGTTCATCCAGTGTTAGCGGCTTAGGTTTGTTTATCTCTTCGACTTCCCAGAACTGTCGAAGTGTTTTATCGATGTTCATTTCGGTACACAAACTGACGATTGTGGAATGACACATGAGATTGGCTGCAGCACCGAGCTGGCCAGCAATAATCCAACCAAATGCGGAATTCAATGCTACTGGGGTTCCCATATCATCCTTATCTTACCATCTTCAACAATCGACAGAAACACATCAACTCCCAGAATCAGGTCAACCTTGTTTGGTTTGTCGAAATCCGGATCCGCCAATGGTACCAAATCCAGACACTTCAGACGGCTTGCATCAATCTTCTGGCTTGGTATGTTCGTTGACAGCTTACTCAGCACGTAAGCTTTCGTTTGGATGACTGGCTTGTAGTCGAATCGCGACGAGATTTCCAAATCCACCACCCCTCTGGTGGTCTCTGAGGCACTGTTTACGATACCGGAAATAACCACCTTCGCATTTTTCCTATCCAATCCAAGAATAGTGATACAATGCTCCGTAATCAGCGATGCTTGAGAACCACTGTCGATCATGGCTCGCACTTTATGAAACTGGTTGTTCGACGGGCACGATTTTGCACAGTGGTTCGAATGCAAACAATTGAAGCAGAGTCTTGCTTGCTGTACAAATTCACGCCTTGCCTTCACCGAAGCCTCCTTGATTGTTGAACACTTGTAGATTCCATGGTCTCCCGAACACATCGGACATGAATGCTGCTCTACGACATAGAAACTGTTGATTTCCTTCTTGATCGGCTTCTTTTCTTCCTTGTAGATTTCCTTCTTGACATGATCCAAGTGTTTACCGCCGAACGCAGCACAAGTTTCGAATGCATCACACTTCCGCTTGAGGAATTTCAGTAGTTCATCGAATGTGGGATTGTCGATGTCAACGATGTGTGTTGCCCACTGAGAATGCAAATTGTCATCCAGATTCTTCAAGACTAGATGAATGAGCCATGGATCCCTGGTCTTGTATGCATTGCCCATGGCCTTTAGCTGGCGTATCACCTCGTCGGATGTCGATACGAGCTTCCGCAAGTTCGTGAGGTTCATTGCTTTTATCACTGGCTGGTCACAAAACTCATGGACAAGCGCCGAAACAGCAAACTTCGGCTTGTCATAGTGTTCGACCAGAGTGTCCCACACCTGTTTGTAGTTAACATCTGTGATAGCATAGCTACTCACCAGGCTTTTCGCTTCTTCTTCCAAGTGAGACATAAGAAACTGAAGCTTAAGCGCATTCGTAAGGTTCTTCATGTCCACACTGCTGGTGAAGATGTCCTTGAACGATGCCCACTGCTTCCTATCGCCCTTGAATGTTGGAAGACTGAACGATGGTAGCTGCATGTCGATTGGGGCTGCGTGCATTCCATGAAACTGGCCAGCTAACTAATCCACGGTAGTTGAAACTGCAGCTTGTCTGGTCAACAACGTCCTTTGTGTATCCAACAGCAAACGAACGGCTTCCTTGAGGTCACTTTCCAGTTCAATGAACGTCGCGTCACTGCTGCCGAAATTCGATCTCTCCTCCTGCCGCGTTTCTTGCAACCAGCTGGTGTACAACCGTTTGGTTGCGTAATACAGTTTTTCGTAATCCACTCGCACGTTGAGCACCGACGGCAATTCCTCCTCCGTTGCTGCGTCCTCGATTTCGCATTGGATTTTATCGAAATTCTCCTGCATCTCGACCAGTTTCTGCAACCGGTCACTCACCTCGAAGATTGGTGTTTCCTGTTTAGTTACTTGCTTCGCACTTGCATGTTCCCGTTTCAGCCGCTCGATAGAAACAATTCGCCTTTTCAACTGCACTTCCATTATCGCGAATTCTTTACATCCGGCTCGAAGGACCAAATTTTAAACGACGGGACAACACGCGAGAGTGAACGAAAACATGGATTGAAAAAAGCCACGGAATAAAATCTTTATAAACTTAACTTTCAAAATTAATGACTAGCGAAAAAACGTGCTTTTCGATTCGTGTATTTATCTATAGTAATAATAATAACATCAAGTTAATGAAAAGCGCAAATCGTCCTCCCGGTGACGGCTCGGTTTTCTTGACTCTGTTTTTCTGCTTCATAACTTCCTTGCGTCCAGCCATCCATGTTTGGCTCATGAGAAAAAGGGATCGTACAAAAAATCAGTAACAATTCGTTCTTCATGCTTTTTCATATAGGGTGACCAAACAACGCTACAATATTCTAAAATTGACCTCACATAAGCAACGTAAAGTGATTTAATTGTATAAGGATCTTTAAAGTGGAGACCGAAACGTTTTATAAAATTAAGCTTATTGCCTGCTCTATGTATTATTGTGTTATAATCGTCCACAAATGTCAATTTAGAATCTAGAAAAACACCTAAATCTCTTACATTTTCACATTTTTTAACAGTTTCACTACCTAATGTAATACAAAGATTTTGTTTATTTAATTTTCTACTGTACGTTATAAGGTTATTTTTTTAATATTTAGTTTCAATAGACTTTTACTACACCATCTGTAAAAAAATACATGTTGAAACACATTCATATCGTTATCGCTTCCTATTTCTAAAAATAGCTTCATGTCATCAGCGTATATAAGTACCCTGATATTTTTTTTTTTAAATAAGAGAGACGCCATTATTTACAAAATAAAAAGAAGGGGTCCTAGGTGTGAGGCCTGGGGAACCCCCGACTTGACATGAATTGGCTTAGATGTTTTCTCGTTGAATCTTACAATTTGCTGGCGATCAACTAAATTCGATTTATCCAGGTGAGGAGCTCCATCTCAATTTCCATTTTTTTCTAATTTAAAAATCAACATTGGGATATCAATTCTGTCAAACGCTTTGCTGAAGTCTGTATATAGAGCTTCTACTTGGTTACCTTTGTCCATTGCATTTAATACAAAGTCCACAAATTCCAAAAGGTTTGTGGTGGTTGAACGGCCTTTAAAAAAACCGTGTTGTGCACTAGTTATTCTTTGTTTTATTTGGCCAAAAACGTTTTATTTATAATTGATTCGAAGAGTTTTGGAATGCACGAAAAAATAGCAATCCCACGATAATTTCGAATATCGGATTTTTTACCTGGTTTATATATGGGTATTAAGTAAGATTTTTTCCATTCCTTCAGGAATATACCAGATTCAAGCGACATATTAATCAACCATCACGTCAAAACGTTCCTTTTCAGGACCATGATAAATTTGTTAACGAGTATTTTCTGGGCATTTGTTAAGGTCATCAGTCGGATGTCAGTTTCCATATGTTTAAATCTATCATATCATATATTTTATAGGCAACATTGGGGGTGCAATTTTAAAAACCAAAGTCGGCCGTGGCATGAAAGCGGTCTGATTTTGACAGAGAAATGATGGATTTTAATTTTTAATACGCCAATGGACTGGAAGTTTTTCTACAGATCTGTTAAATTTAAGACTTTATCCATTTTAAAAAGGTTACTATTGAAAATTGCAGGAATGTGCAACTGTTGCTATGATAGTTAAAAGTATCACTATTTGCCTGCGAAAAGCGCTGTATCTAACACAGATTTCTGAATAAAATAGGTCTCGCCGAACGGTGTTTATTCAATCACCCCTGTGGTGAGTGTTGGTGTCCGGTTGTCATTAGCAGCAGCAGCAGCAGCAGTGATTTCAGCGCATGGCGTTGTACATTTTTCTCCTGTACACAACGAAAGGCGCCCCGCAAGCAGCAAGCTATCAAGGCTGTCCTCAAGAGCCCTCGATTCACCGAAGAAGGAGGAAGAAGTCGCACCGCTACTGATCGAATTCAGTTGCTCGTCGTGAGTCGCTGTGGGCCATCTATGGCAAGCGCGTCACCCTCGATCCAAACAACATAAAACTTTGCCAGCCTCATCCATGGTGACCACCTTAATAGCTCAGCATTACTCAAACATCACGACGAAACAGTTCTTTTCAGGAATATTTTCTTTTATTAAGTTTAAATTTTCATAAATTCTTTTCTTTAAATTATTGTTGTTTAAGAGCTAATTTTAATTGATTTTTTGCTCGCCTTGCTGCCAGCCACATCATCTTCAAAGCTTTTTGATAATATATCCAGCAGCCAGACGTTTGTTGTCAAATGCGTAACATTATTGAAGTGGTACATAAAATTTTTCGCAATAACCGAATACAACATGACCTTGTCAATTAACAAGAAACACTTCGAATTTATGTAAGGTTCAGGACGCTAGAAAAAGCAAAAATATCTCAAATTTATATGATTGATCGCGAGTATCTCGCGATTAAAAAGTTTGGGCAAGCATTTCGTCCAATAAATTTTCGCTTGTTTTAACTATTCAATAAACCAAGAATTCCGTGAATTTTGTGCACGAAAAAAAAGCGTAATTTTGTCATCAGAAAACGAGGCGTTTCCGTTATGGTAAAAAGGGGTTTCCCTAACACAGTCACCGAATATTGATACTGTTATATCCGTAACCAAGGCCAACAAGTAAAACAAGCTGTTGTTAAGAGCTACTATTTATTACGTCTATCTTGGTTGGTGGTCGGATAAAGAATCAATCTCTAACTTATGACAGTCAGGCAAGGCCTACTACATCTAGGCCTACTACATCTCCCCCTTTTAGAAAATGTCATAGGAAGAGAGCCTTCTTGGAATTCTTGATTCTCGTACAGAACGTCGAATAAAGTCTCCAACTGCTTCAGATGACACGGGCTTTTGTGCGGACTGAAGTTCTCCATCTTGAGCAGCAGGTTCATGATCGATTGTTGAAAAAGGATTTTCGCCAGACGTACTTGCCACTTGACCATCAGCTTCGAGTGATACGGAACCGACAGGAATAGGGACATCGTGATTGAATGGCACTTCTGGATCCAACGGTACAGCTTCATCTTGAATTTCATCAAGCAAGATTTCCCATGGTAGTTGCTGCGTCGCTTGCTCTGGATCATCAGAAGTGTGACGAGGGCGCATTTGGTTTACATGCAACCTCACCAGCTTCGGTCTCCCGTTCATGTCCAGTGCAACGATATAGTTGACGGAACCTTTCCGTTCGATGACTCGACCAGGAATCCAGGACTTGGCGTTTCTGCGATGCTGTTCAACGTAGACCAGGTCATCTTCATCAAACTCGCGCTTGACTGCTCCATGCCGCCAATCGAACTGTTGGTTTTGTTTGTGATTCTTGACAGCTTCAGTTACAGGAACAGGTTTCTTCAGTACGTCCAAAGTGGTGCGCACTGGTCTTCCGAGGAATGCTTCTGCTGGAGACGTCGACTGCGGTGTGTTTCGGTTTGGGATTGAACGATACACCGAAAGGAATGTCTGCAGGTGCTCCAGTGTGGGTGATCATTCCCCCTTGGCTAGCTTCTTTAGGCCACGCTTGAGTGAATCAACGAATCGCTCCGCTTGGCCGTTGGACTGCGGGTGGTAGGGAGCAGTGCGGAGATGGGTGATACCATTCGCACGGCAATACTGTTGAAATTGCTCGCTGGTGAATTGCGTTCCGTTGTCTGAGATCAATGTGTCTGGGTTGCCGTAACGAGAAAACGTTTCACGCAGCATATTCAGGGTTGCAGTTGTGGTAATGGATTGAGTGCGAAAAAATTCGGGCCACTTAGAGAAAGCATCTACCATGACGAAATAGTAGTATCCATGGATCGGACCAGCAAAATCGATATGGACACGTTGCCATGGCTTGTCCGGGAGAGGCCATGACTACAAGGTTGCTTTTGTCGGGGACTTCGCTGCTTCAGCACATGCAGTGCACTGACGGACAAATTGCTCCACATCGTCGTCAACGTTAGGCCAGTAGATGTAACTTCGGGCCAGAGACTTCATTCGGTCCATTCCTGGGTGTCCACAATGCAGTTGACGAACGATCCGCTTTCGAAACTTTGATGGGACGACGATTCGATCGCCGAACATAACGCAGTTGTCGACAACTTGAAGTCCATCTCGTCTGGCGAACAACTTCTTGACATCAGGATCAGCAACTTGCTTCGCATTTGCTGGCCTATCTTCGTTAAGGAAATTCACCACTTGCTGAAGAACTGGATCCTTTCGCGTCTCAGCCACAATCATGTGGTGCGTGACTGGAAGGTTGCTGATGGTGTCGTCGAGAATTGCTTTTGCTTCAGATTCGACGCACACGCCGGCTATGACGTAATCCTCATCTGGTCTATGCTGCGATGACATTAGCCGGGATAGAAAATCTGCATAGCCAAAATTCGTCGATGAAACGTGTTGGATGTCGAAATCGTACAGCAGAAGTGTCAAGGCCCAGCGCTGCAAACGGTTTGCTGTGTAAACAGGAATACCTTTCTTTGAGCCGAAAACCTTGAGTAGCGGTTGATGATCGGTTTGCAGGAGGAAGTGTCGTCCATACAGCATTTTGTGGAAAC